AGTGGGGGTCGGGGAGGAGAGGAAAGAAGGGGTTGTGCTGAGACCCAGAAGTGAATGCTGTAACTGCTTTTCCCTAATGACTAGTCGAGTATTTGATGGAAATTCCTCTGACTACTCGACAAGCAAATTAATCAATATTTAACATCCCTGGGATATATCATATTGGAAAACTTGAATCTTTCTCATCTTGAGTCTTTACCTATTTCACATATTTTTAATCTTACTCATGAATGCAATATTACTGAAAATACTGTATGCTTAATAAGACCAACCTTTATGTTGTAGTAGTAAGGGGAAAGCTGTTCTTTACCATTACATACCAGAAGGCCAATGGGTGACAAAAGGTGAATTGAAAAGATAAAATGAAAACTATATGAATCTGAACATAATGTCTCCATGAGCTAAATTTTGTGTGTGGTAGAGGGCATTTATCCCAGAAATCAATTTTCTTTATTTCTTACCTTTTTGAGTCCCAAACTACTTTTGGTTTTTTGAAGATTAGATGCCATTATTCTGTGATGTCACTGACACTGTTGGTCACAAAGATTCTTCTTTTTGAGAGTAATTCAATCTGGACTGTTTTCTGAACTAAGAATTAGTACAGCATTTTAAAAAGCAGTTGATTTTTTTTTTTAAATCAGAGCAATTTCTGTGTTCAGGACTTCCATCCATATTTGTGGAGGTCAGATGAAAGAATATTTGTGACTTACATGATTAATAGGAAAGAAACCAAGAAACAGCATACTTGGGCTGAACATGAGAAAAATCTTCTTAATGGAGTTACTTGCCCATGGAATAGCTTTCATACAGAGCTACTGGAATTACATAGCCTGAACTTGCAAACTTAGAATGGCCAAAACAATAGTGTCCTATGAAGAGCAAGATAGGATGATGATTTAATCCATTGGTAGTCCATGGAGCTACATCTGTCCTTTTGAATCTTGTGTTAGACTTCAAACCATGATACTTTCTGCTATTGTAGTCTAGACTAGGAATCTTTTAATGTTTCCAGAGGCTTTTTGCATGCTACAGAAATTGAGCAACTTCTGAACCTTGGGTAGCTGCTCAGTGAAAAATGTGTTTTTTGTGTAAATTGAACTGTGATCAGAATTGCTGGTGACACCAAAATGAGTGAGGTAGCAATTACATGGTACACAATAAAATTGGTAAGTCCCCTGGTATGATTAGTGGAACGGCTGCCACTGACAACAGAAGGCTATTCGGCCCACTTTGATATAAAAGAACAAGTACAGAGAGGAACTAAAAAAAATACACAACAAAACAGTCATATTAAAATGTTTTTCATTATGTCCTAATACTACTTTGTAATTCATACAGAAGGGCTGAATTTGGAGCTGGAAAGTTGAAAAGGAATGCTGTATGAGCACCTCAGTATTTGGATTCATTGTCTCAGTCTAATGTTTTCTAACAGTCTTAAATCTAGTGTACTTAGAAATAATACATAATATATAAATGTATACAAAAATATATTCTAATAATACTACAGTTTATTGTAAATCTTACCTTCTTTTTCAGTCTCTTGCAGAACAGGCCAAAGCTAGATTACAGTTGGTTCTTGAAGCAGCTGGTAAGTGATGCGACATAAATACGTAATAGAAAGTAATAATTTTACTGCATTGTTTATAATAGCACTAAAGAGAAACTTTGTCCCAGCTGATTTCGTCCCCCTTACTTTGACAAACACCAAATATTTTCCCCACCTCTCCCACTTATATTTCTAATTTGACTAAACATGTGTAGCTACTCTCATTTGTTTACCACCATTGACAGTAGATGGAAATAAATGTATTAGGGTATGTCTACACTACAGTGCTAATTCGAACTAACTTAGTTCGAATTAGTTAATTCGAATTAAGCTAATTCGAACTAACGGATCCAGACTAAAAAACTAGTTCGAATTAGCGTTTTGCTAATTCGAACTAGCATGTCCACATTAAGTGGACCCTGAACCGGGGTTAAGGATGGCCGGAAGCAGTGCCGGCAGGGCATCAGATGAGAACTTAGAGTGTGGAGCTGCTGCCTCAGGCTAGCCAAGGGCTGTGCTAAAAGGGTCCCGACCCCCACCCCGGACAGACAGTTCTCAGTTCCCCACTTGCAAAGGTTGCCCGCTTGCAAAGCAGTCCTGGCTTGGAGTGCCCTGAGTGCCCACACTGGGCACATCACAGCACTCGGCCATCAGACCGGCTGCATTTGCTGCAGGCTGCCATCTGGGGAGAGGGGGCAATTGGGGGGCTGCAAGAGAGCTTCCACCCCCAGAAGCCCGCAGAGCCAGCCCAGTCCTCCCCATCGGGGGCTCATACCCCATTCCTCCCTCACCTCCTTCCACTTACCCTTCCCTAGACCCCCTTCCTGATGTACAAAATAAAGAAAACGTGTGGTCAAAAATAGAATCTCTCTTTATTGAACAAAACTCAGGGAGACTGGGAAAAGGAGGTGGGAGAGGGGAAGAGAGAGGGTGGGAGAGGGGAGGGCAACTAAAATGATCAGAGGTTTGGAACAGGTCCCATATGAAGAGAGGCTAAAAAGACTGGGACTTCTCAGCTTAGAAAAGAGGAGACTGAGGGGGGATA